TACTACTACTACTACTACTACTACTACTACTACTAGCCTAATGACATGTTATTCATCAATTTGTAATAGTACTCATTGCACTCATTGTATGTGTTCTTCTTATTTAGCAAAAAACATTTTTTTATCACTGAATTGATTGGATTCCACAGAATACAACATTTTCATTAAAGCCTAGTAGCACAGAATGTATCATATTTGTAGTACTGACTCCATTTCTGCAATTTCAAAAGGAKTTGTTGGTAGTATGACTTTGTTTCTTGTTTCTTTTGTCCAAAACAATTGTTACTCCTTACCACTGCTTATCTTTCAAACAAATCACTGTCTTGTTCTAGTAGAGGAAAGGACAGTGAAATTTACTGGTAACCAGCAGCAATGGGCAAAATGTCTGGGAAAAAATATTACTKGTGGTTGGACAGAGGAGAGCTCATCCTACCATAAGCTAGTAGAATTTGGATATCTAGACCAAGAAAAACAAAGAGAGCTTGTGCCGGAGTTAGATTTTCTAACTACTACTAMTATGAATTTCAAACAATTCTTGTTGCATCACATCATCATCAGCAGTATTACTAGTAGTACTACTATTAGTATTAGAACTAGTAGAACACAAGGCTGATTGGCTGAACAAGGGTGCTAATAGCTGTGGGCTGGTGTACTATGCACTGGCTCATTTCTGGTAGAATTTCACCACATGGTCAAGAGTGTGAGGAAAAGTCAAACCTTAACTATTTTATTGTTCCTCCTTTCTCCCCCACAAATTAGTATCATTGAAATGTACTTTCTTTAGTAGAAGTATTTTTCTTGTATCCTCATTTGTGTTCTTACTACTAATTWACCAYAACAAAATGATGTCATTCTTGTTGCACAACCACCCTACTATCAGGAACACCTCAAAATKTTTCAGTGCCATTGGATCTAAAAATCTCCCATGTGTAGTGTGTCTTTCTTTTGACACACTTCTTGCTGTCACAAGTTTTTGAGGATGAGGAGTTGTTTGTACAATTTATTGCAGCTACCAGAATCCTTTTCACCACAAGAACATGTCACCAGAACTACTATCATGTTGAATCTTGCAATTCCTACGAAGGATGTACTAGTTACRCAGTTCTCATTCCAAGTTATCCTCTCCAACCACCAGTTGTGTCATGAAGATAGAAAGACAGGAGGTGAGAAAATGATTGAAACATTTGCATGGTAAAATTGGTGGCAGTACCACCACTATTCTGGTAGTATCTAAGTTTTTTTCACTAGTAGCACTGCTAGACCAACAAGACCATCATGTAGTGGTGATGGAAATGAATTTGGAGGAGATTATTTTGAAATTGCTACTAACAAGTACCCGTGCTGTTATCACAGAATCACTCTAGTTTGACATGCTACTAGTGCCGGCAGCAAGGATTGTCCTCCATTGTGACAGAAGGCATTGTCATTCTTTGTTACAGAAATAAGAAGGGTRGTGTTCTCCCTTGCAAATTATTTTATTGTAGTATCTTCTTGTTAGTATGCCTTCATTATCATATGTAAGCATTGACAAGTTYAAATGACTACTGGAAACATCTACATAAGAAATGATTTGGTTTAAGACTATAAAAGAAATTGCCACTATCTTTCATGATGTAGCATACTACTAGTAGATTTAATCAAATTAGCACCACTACTACTAGTAGTAGCATGAAAGAAATAGTACACACATTGATCAGTAAAATTGCAGTGAATTCCTCTGAAAGCCAACTTTTTCCCCTTTGAGTACCAGATCCTACATAGATACATACAGAAACTTCTTTCAACCAATAGAAACAGTATAATAGGCAAGAGGACAATTAGAACTGCTCCAGAAACAAGCCCTCATATGTCTTCCCCACAAATATCCTTGGTCATAGTGTTAGGAAGAGGTGTGCCCTCTGTCAATGTCACATGATAATAGTAGGCCTGCTGGGGAATCCAGTCATCCAGTAGTAACAGCCACTATGTGGCTATATTACAAAATGGGGAAGAACCTAATTAAAAAACAACTCTAGACCACCAGACTAAGCACCCAGTCCAAGTTGATACAATTATGTGAAGGTTGGCGTCATTTGGRAGCCCAATGGTGATGCTCTAGAGGCTTAGAACTAAATTTTGTGTTAATTTTGGCTCTAATTTAAAATTGATGAAACTGGTACTAAAGAACCATCTCCATGGCTGGATACTTTTGGCTCTAAGAAGAAATGGACATTTCTTTTGTTGTTCTCAAAGATGCAGAGGAAAGCAAGGTSCAATCCACCATAAAATTATGAAAAAGGCTGGAAGAAGTAATAGAGTTTGTAGGAAAAACCATACTAATACTACTAGTAGGAGAACTAGTGTGGAAAATGCTGTCTCATCCTGTTACAAGTTTTGCACCAATAATAATTGAAACAAATATGACTGCAMTATTCCCTACACATGAGGTGAAAAGATTATTGAAGGTGATAAATCTTGGTGTTCTTTGGCACTCCTATTAATGATACTAGGAGTATTTCAGATGCTGAATACTTCTATCCCCCTTTATGATCAATGACAAGTCAGACAGGCAAAACCCCTCAGTTTTGGTGAAGCTGTAGTAAGTCCCACTGTATGCTGGGAGGTGCTGAAAAATATGGAGATCATTATGGCCTGGGCATGGCAGCTAAGGTGACTATTTGGACAGCAGGGAGAGGAAAAAGAACCTAGTATGTCATGGGTCATAAAATATAGGGGGAGCGCCACAGATTTTTTCTCCTGCAGGATTAGAATTTCTTTATTCTATGTGTGTCCAAAATTGAAAAATGTCCCCCCAAGATTTTTTTGACAATAGTACTGTGATCCTAGTTGAAATAGTCTGTCCTCCATCAAATTTTGTGACAGCAGTCTAGTCCTTAACAAAAATTCAAACAATCAGCCCTTTATCAGTTTTGCCTACTACTTTCCAGTACTACTACTAGTAGTACTAGTAGCTCTACATCACACTACTACTAGTAATTTGGTCATATCATATTAACAATAAAATAATAGCACAACAATCAATTTGATATGAAATGCTAGTACTAGTAGTAGTAGTAGTAGTACTATTTTTACCACCACCAGCACCAGTGATGCTTATTGTCCTTGGGCATAAAACAAGATGCCTACTATGATAATTAATCAATCAAATTCAATGCTGGTGGTAGTATGTGTGAAAATCCTTGTGTACAACAACCCTCAATCCAATTTGTCTGTGTACCCATGTACAGCTGCAGCAGCAGCAGCAGCAGCAACAACAACAACAACAACAACAACAACAACAACAACAACAACAACAGCAACAACAGCAACAACAGCAGCAACAACAACAGCAACAAGTAACACTCCTGCTACTAGTAGTGGTTTAATTTCCCCCTAGTAGTGTCAGCAACAATCGCCACATACTAGTACTATTACTATTAGTAAAAACAAAAAGAAACTCTTGGGAGAACAAGAATAACAGGAAGAGGAAGAACAAGAGGGAGCAGCAACGACAAGATACAAGAAGAAGAATAGCAAGAATAGATTGAAAGGAAAGGATTGTTCCTCCTTCTTATCTTGTCTTCCTAAAGAGGAGAAGAGGAACAAAAAATCAGCAAGAAGAAAGCAGGAAGAAGAACAACAGCAAGAACAGGAGAACAACAAAGAGGAACAGAGGAGGACAACAACAACAAGAGTAGTGGTGCGTCACAGTAGTACTAGTACTACTAGTAGTAGTTCTTGTAGTAGCTCTTAGTAGTACTAACACCAGGTCAAATATCTTTTCTATCTTTTATGACTTTTGATAGACTTCTGATAGAAGAGGTACAAGTTGTTGTACTGGGAGGACAAAACATAGCAAGGAGTACTTCTAGTACTAGAAGTAGTACTAGTAGTAGTAGCAGTTCAAAAGTTCAAGTATTGAAAAGATACCATGGAAAAGTACCTTCGTACCGGTACTACCAGCAAGGTTGGCTTGCTTCCGTTGGCGAGGTGCCATTCCAAAACTATGCAACTGCCACTCGTAGCTCGGAAGATGATTGGTTGGTTGCAATCTCCCCGTTATTGACTATGGACGTCATCGTCCGTTTGAAAGGCTTTAAGTGCGTATGGCGGTTTTTCAAATTAGTTAGATCAAATTGACCGACTCTCTGACGTATTTGGTACAATTGTTTGAATCGTACTCCATAGCAGGACRGATGCGAAAATSATGGCTACAGACCTAGAAAATCTTTCAGAAACATTAATTTGTCTTTAAAAATATAATTCGGGGTGTGTACACCCTTCTCAAAGCTCGACGTGCGCGATTTTTCGCGCTCTCGGTACGTCATTAATCGAGCCAGCATCGCCATTTTCTAATCGCTCGCTCGAAAGGCTTTTAGATTTCCGTTGTCGAATAATTTTACGGCGCATGTTCTACACACTGCGCTWGTAGGTCCGAGTACTCGCAATTTTCTGGACGTGGTGCGTACTGCCACCACCAGATTCAAGGACTTTTTGTACGGTTCGCGTCGTACTGATTTTCGTTCAACAATCTCAATGGCAACCCGCGTGCGTGTGAAAACAAGTTCTTTTCCTAGGAAGTGGATTGCACTAGAGAAAAGATCAACAAACGTGTGCAAACAATCGCATGAGAAATCAAGAGTCACACGCACTAACTCAAATCGACAACACTCTGCTCCAGCCATATAATCAGCATTGTTATTGTCCATCATTAGTGCATATTACATTACGGTTGTATCATCATAGTTCCAAAAGTTGGATAAATACAGTTGTGTAATTTGAAAATGAAATTCTTTACCCTCGCTYTGGTTGCCGCCCTAGGCGGATCCGCATCGGCCTTCACCACGGCCCCTAAGAACAGCGCYACCACCGCTTTGTTCTCGTCTCAATACGAAGCCGGTCTTGCCACCGGAGTCGGAGCCCCTGTCCCCGAAGAACGCGGAGGAGAAATGGCCCTCACAAAGGATGTATGGGAAACTTTGTCCCCCATCAAGGTGCAGGGAGGAAGTCTTCGCACCTGGTCTTTCACCACTCCTTCCATCGACTCTGTTCAAGTSCACCTCAAGACCGAGGGACGTCCTTTGAACGCCAACGTCGAGCTTTGGCAAGGACCTGACAACACCCCCCAAAAGATGGCTGTCTACCTCGAAGATGGAAACCTCCGACCTTTCCGAGCCGTCATCGCTTCCCCAGGATCCCAGAACTCCATTGCCATCCGCAACACCGCCTCCATGGAATAYCCCATCGCTGCCGGAGTCGAGGCTGACATCAAGGATGGCGGTATCGAAAACTTCACCGATAAGCTTTCCAAGATGGCCACTCCCCGTACCGTGCAGGGAGGAGCCGTTTTCACCATGCCCTTCGCCCCTTCTGTCGCCTCCGTCCAGGTTCTCCTGAAGACGGACGGACGTCCTTTGAACGCCCGTATTGAGCTTCTTCAAGGTCCTAACAACGTCAAGCAGGTCATGGAAGTTTACACCGAAGATGGAACTGAGCGACCATTCTTCGCCATCCTCGAGACACCCGGAACCGGAAACGTTGTCCGTATTGTCAACACTGCCACTGTTGAATTCCCTCTTGGATGCAACCTCGAGCCTTTCCTCGTCGAAGAAGGAAGCGACGATATGTTCATTGTCAGCGAAGAACAAGGCACTGAATCCTCCTCCAAATTCTTCTTCCTTGACAAATAAACTCAAGGTGGGAAGAGTGTTGTGAACTGAAGAAGGATCTTGTTTGTGCTAATGGACTGTTGTATTTGTGTGTAGCATGCGTGCGCTTTGATGTGCGTTGTATAATTGTGTTTTGTTTGGCTTACGCATCGCACATATCAGCAGCAGCAAGCTACGGCTGTCACGAACAAGAAATTGCTAAAGCATTTCTGAACAGGACCAATTGCAACCGTTCTTCTCAGATTGCGAACAAAACATTTTGCATATGCGGTCATATCATGTCACCATGAATGATGTGGATCGTATGGATATGGATCATGACGGATGGATGAATTGTAAAAATGGACGGATAAGATTAGTGGGGCCTATCTCGTACAAGACATTTTAACAAACTTATACTACTTACTACCTCTAAACTTCAGTATAACATTAAAAGATAGTCGATTYYACGTCGCAACCAACATCTCGTGATCCAATCTATAATTGCAATGGTGTCAATCARTGAGTTTGATRTGCCTGCTGCTCATCTACCTGACTGAATCAAGCCGTCATGGCTTCGCTTTGCTCTATTTGATAGACTCGAAGACAGAAAGTTTACGATAGGACACACTGCTTTAACAACATWAAGAATTCGAAGCTTTGCCTTCGAAAGCTGCATCGAAGTAGTGTTTGATTGAAGTCCTATCAGTAATTTCTTTACTTYAGCATTTWTTAATTGCGATAGCACATTAACTTTGTTTCTCGAACTTGTCTTCGCATTGCTGTGTCCAKTGTTACCTTAACCAAAAAAAGGTTTCGCCCGTAAGATGGTACCCATGGCAAGCTCACCGCCAGTCTTCGATAATCAAAAAAAGGAGGATGAGTTCTCCAGCTTCCGCTCTTGGCCTCATCCTCCTCTGTTTGATTACTGAAGTACTCTACTTTCAGCCTCGGTCTCAAGTTTTGCTCTGATCCTCATCCTCAGTTAGATTACTTTGTGTGATCCGTATGTATTCTGATGAGTTGGAGCAAGATTGGAAAAATATGACAATAGCAAGGGTACGGATCACCCAATAGTTTATCTCTATCATAATTTCAAAAGGACTCGAATATCGGTCGTCAAGTGTTTTCCRTGTAGTCGAAGCCGGTGATACATACCGCCCGCCACGTTGYCAACCCAGCCAGCTATCCTGGGTCTCCGTTTCGATCCAATCCCATACCCATCCATGTGATACTATTCGATGATTGAATCCCYGGGCGAAGAAAACCCAAAGAAGCCGAGATCTACGATTGTGTATGCCGACATGACCGCAATGGATGTTGAMAATACCGCAATGGATGCCAATCCGAAAGTGCAACGATTACCGTATCCAAGAGCAAACAAAAATCTTTTCTTTTCATTCGAGTTTTGGTTCTTCCAGTCGATAATCTGCCACTTTCCTCGAAGAGGCACGTCCTGCTTTGGCACTGGCAGCAAAAATCCAGTTTTGTTTGCAATCGTTCAGTTCAGTTTACTCTGCTYCTTCGGCCAATGACACGCAACCTTGCTCGTGCTACGGCAGTGTATCTTCGCGTTTCGAACTGAATGAGACCCGCCGGATCGTCACTTTCCATAGATTCGATCGCATCATTCGAAGAAAGCGAGAATCATACCAACCGTGTCGTATAGCCCTTTTGGTCGATCTTCTATGCGGCCCATGCTGATAGTTCGGATGGAATGTACTTCCATACGGAGAAGGATTTACACATGATACGATTCGAATTTCGAATTTCGAATTCTGCGAAATTTGAAATCTAAACTTGAGATTTTCCGGGAATCACAAAATCGAAATCGTTTTTTCGGATCGGACCCGAACACCAAGTTTGACGCCAAACATCCTTGTCGTGATTTTAGACAAGTGCGTCATCGAGATCTCGACACAGTGCTGCTGACGTGTTGACAAGTAGTACCAAAGATTGGATACCTTCAAAAATTTGATTGGGGCGCGAAACAATGTGCRCACATCTGACATCTAGTCTGAGTAGTCGAATGAAAACTTGACAGTCTTGYGTCTTCTTGCAGATCAGAGAGGACGCTCAACGCTCAGACGCCAGTAAGTCATATCCTGCCGTACGTACGTACTGTCAGGGGTCATCTAAATTTATGACCCCTGCGTACTGTACCGTACAGTGCTATGGTAGCGTATGAACTGAACAAGATCCCAAATCCCACACCTACGAGTACGAAGTACCCTACGTACTGTACTGTACGAACCTGATGTACCGATTRCCCTGAGAATGTAAATAAAAGATGATAAGAGTACGAACAGTACGTACGTACCGGTACGTACCAAATACCTCTCTGGTGTGTTCAAGTAATGCTACRAGATCAAAGTGTTTAATACGGAAGAGCCCATCAAACCGCCTCATGATTTAAGAATATCGAAYGCAACACTTCTGTTGCTTAGATTACTCATAAAGTCATTATTTCACAAAYCATGCCCTTCATATGCATCATCAGGTTTCATCCTACTCTAGTTGAATATCCATGCTTGCTTCCCTCCTGYAACCACATGAGATCATCAACCTTAATGTCCTCGTAGAATGGCGTATTTTTTGGCACACACGCGACTGCATCTATATCATCGGTCTTGTACAGGATTCCTTGCTTCAGGCGAATGGTCTGAACGCTCGCGTCAGGATCGCCATTGTATAGATATATATCTACCTTCAATCCTTTCTGACCCTCTTTGGGATCCCACAGCATAATATCCGCTTCCATCAGCTTYGCCGAACGAACAAACTGACACCACCCCGAGCTATAATTCTTACGTCCCTGGACACCAGCGGAACAATTTCCTATCAAGACGTTTCGACCGACATTCCGTGTAAATTTGAAGTTCGCAATCTTTTTTCCCGGCCCTGGGATCCAGCGCCCAATCGCATTATCTATCGGAGTTCTGCTATAATGCTCAACTATTTGCCCAGAAGAATCGGGGTTGTAAACTAAATAGCAAGCTCCTCTTTCAGGATCTGACAGTTCTGTTGATGACGACGGTTCGGCGGCAGGGTCGAGTTCCTCAACTTCTCCTCGAGGCTCAGGCTCAGGTTCCGGCTCCAATTCCAGTTTTTCTGGAGGCTCAGGCTCAGCCTCAGGTTCTCCTCGAAGCTCAGTTGCTAGCTCAGTTGCCGGCTCAGCTTCGCCATTGGGTTCTGAAATCGGAGAACTTTCATCCTCATGGTCGATACTKGAACTGGGTATTTCTTCATCTAGCACCACCGGTACAACTTCGTTTTGATTACTTTCTACAGAAGATATGTGGGTGGATGCTTCACCTTTGATGACGGGTTGTTCCAGTGCTTGATTGTCACCTCGGTTAATTTTGGAACTCTTGCTGCTTAATGACTTGAATACTGCGACGGCACCGAGTTTTTTGGCAATTTTCCCCCATTTTTTCCCGRCGATGCCACTCATCGGGAAATCACAACCTCTTGGAACGCAGGCTACAGCATCTACGGATGTTGTGTTAAAAACGGCTTGAGCATTTTTGGYCGAGATCTGTATGGTACGACCACTATCATCGTATAAATACAAATCGACAGAAACACCATACCCTTCCAACAAGGTTACCGTAGCTCCCATGCTCTTGGCYGCTTTGGCAAATTGGCACCAACCCTGGTAATAGTTCTTATGGTCGTTGGTAACGTTGGATGCGCATGTTCCGATTAGTTCGCTTTCCGAAAGCCCCTGGGATGTCTTAAAGGCTTCGATGTTACGGGAAGTCCAGACTCCCACTGCACATGCCAAAGGACGTTCGCTATAATGGATGTTGAGCTCGTCATCACTCGTGTTGAAGACCAAGTAGCAAGCTGCTTTTCCAACAAATCTTTTCTCCCACGACCGATCTCTCTCATCAAGAACTTGGTCATAAGGTGCTGATAACTCTGGTGGATCTTCTTTGATTTCCATCGGGTCTTCAGGGAGCCGAGCGACCGAGAAGTCCTCGGTTTGATGGTCTGCTTGAGATGGTGTTCCTTGTGTTTCTTTGCCTCTTTCGCTACCGCCGTACTCCTGTAAAGCGTAGTAAGGATTCATGATTCGTCTCTTCGGCTGCTCCACAACTGGTTGAAGAACAGATGTGGATGGTTGTTGTCGCGATGATGGCGACTGCAGTGAACCTCGGGCTTGAGTCAGAGATGTAGTCAAATTTGCTCCCGAAGGTTCCTTTTGTAGCGMTTGTCGCCGAGGTTTGAGTGTTACCGTCTCCCGTTTTACCGTCACCCCCGACGGTAAGGCTATTGTGTTAGCACCCTGATGTGGYATACTTTTGCGCATACCTGGGCGAGCGGTAGRGGTAGAAGCTGTCGATGATAGAGGCAATTCCGAAGATGTGGACGGCAGCGGTTGGTTCGATTTTCCCACAGAAGCCAATCGAATATGAGTATGTCTTAATGGTTCCTTGGTTTTCTGGCCATCTCTAACAGTAACTTTGTTCTCTCCACCACCATCTACTCCCGATCCCGATTCCCCATTCAATTTGCGGGTCAATTCTGTTGTTTCACGGATCAGCAATTCTAACCTTTCCCGATCTCTGTCGCTAAATGCACTGTTTGTATCATTCGTTTCGTTTGAAGCGTCCATTGGGTTGCAAGCGGGAGGAATTTCGTCGAATAGTGACTCTTTGGTCAGCATGCCCGCTCGATGAAGTTCTTCCATCGTATCGTAATCGCCTTTGTATTCAATAGCTCCCACGACTGCGTTGCTGCTACTCCTACTCATATCATTGCTTGCGTTGTTGTTTTTGTCTTCAAAAATGAAGCGAACAAAGAATTGAGGATAGGAATAGGAAACGGCAGTGCTCTGTACTGCACTTTCACTGCATTGATTTAGTGCCACTATCATAGAGTTGATCACTAGTCGCTCCTCTTGGCTGGTAGCGGCGGGGTTGTTGTAGATATAATTCGTTTTTCCYGCAGGAATTTCTGACAAGATGACGCGAGGGACGACCCCGATTTTCTTGCATAATTTCATGGCCAARTCTTGATCCTTACATTCTTTTGTCGTGGCAGGCTTTCGATTGCACAACACGATGAGTTGCGTTTTGTCTTGGTTCGAGCGGTTAMTTCCGGCCATTACATTWCTGGAAGCGTTACTTTTRGTTTGGCTGTTCCTAATTTGGTCCGCCAACGAGTCCATTTCCTTTGATGCTTCTGCTTTCCTTGTCTTTTCGSTTGCATCCTCCAATTCAATTCCTTCTTGRCTTTGAGTTCGACGTAACCCAGCGGTTGGCTCGTCGATGGCATCTGTATCGTACGATCTCGATTTTGATGGGGTCGTGTTGTCTTGCAAGGGGGTTGCCTCAGACGATACTTCTACCTCCTCTTCTATTTTTTCCGTTGCAACCCTAGTGGCGTTTTCATTTTCGCTAAAAGGACGTAGAACAACGGTTGGCTCTTCGATGAAATCTATGTCGTGAGATCTCGATTTCCGAAGCAGAGGYGGATCGACGGATTCGGTMGTCAAAGCAGCTGTTTCCTCGTCAAGCAACGGCAAATCGGCAGATCCATCAGGAGGGGTGGAATCWATCGGAGAAGCCTTGGAAGCGATAGGAACAGCAGCGGATARTTCTGTAGGTCCCTTGGTAGAAGTATCGGCTGTTGTTGCCTCATCCGAAATCGATTCTTTGGCATCATCMGTAGTAGCGGGAGGATTAGCAGCAGATTGTTGCGCAGAAGGCGTGCTTTCTGGAGCAGCTTTTGTTGCCTCTACGGATGTTGCATACTCCGAAATCRACTCTAGCGCAGTAGTTGAGGCCTCGGTACATTCTGTAGGAGGTTTGGCATCAGTATCAGTAACTGCTCGTGTTTCCTTTTCGGAATCTGATTCTACAGTAGTAGCTGCGTCAGCGGTGGGAATGGCAGCAGCCGGTTTTACAGCAGTACCGGCCGTTGTCGGTGTTGCCTCATCTGTAATCGATTCGATGACAGTACCTGCGGCAGCGATAGGAACATCAGCTGCTAGTTCTGTTCGAGACGTGAGAACAGTATCATTTGTTCCCTCCTCCGAAGCGGAGGTGCGGTTGTCTTCGGCAACGACCTGCTGAAAAAAATAATCCATTTCCGATCGAATCATTTTGTATTCGTGGTCGGYAGCTATTTTGAGAACGTGTCGCACCAATTCGCGGAGATCTTCGATCGCCATTTGATCAATTATGGCATCGGTACCGGCRAGACTCATATGTTTCTTGCCTGCTATCACCGGGCGGGGAGGAGGACGGAGCGGGCGTGCACCGTCCGTGTTGTCATCGTCCGTGTCGCACATGGCAGGATGCTTTAAGGACGTTGTTGTTACGCTTTCGTTTATCGATGCTCCGCTGTTCTCTACTTGTTTTTCTACTGCCAAGGTACAACCCATTCAATCGGTGTCAAACAACTTGACAACACTTTTTATTGATTTATTGATTAACTTGCAATGAAAGCCGAAGCGCGTTGTGGCAACGTGAGAGAGATTGTCTACTACTGTACCGCTCTTTTTCTCTTGCCGATCGACATAAATCAAGGTGAAGAACTCGCACCGCTTTTCTCAGATTTGCATTACTTAAAACGAAAATGATATGGTGGAAGTCATGTCACTTAGCGGGAAGTTACAAAAAATAACCCTCGGGGTCTAAATCTAAAGTTCTGCCGTAACTTTCCATATTCCATACTGCAACTTACGTAAAAAATAGCAAGAAAAAAGACCCGTACTTTTTCGTTCAAAAAATACRAAGCGGCATGCCTTTTCGGAGGCTCCAAAATTTGGAGAAAGTCGACAATTTTTTTTCCGTTGTTTGGGGAAACGGAATACAATTCAATCCCCTTTTACTCAACTCAATGAAGGATCCTTTCGAGAGGGGGCTAGGAAAAGCTCAAGATTACGGGACTGATYGGGTCGCGTTTGAAGGCATTTCTTGTTTTCTTCCGAATGYTTTTTTCCTTCTTCGTGGAATACTGAAAACTAGTCGTGCAGTGACATTCCCGTAGCGCATCAACCRAACACAAAGCATGCGAATGAGTTTCACTCGAACAATCCCTGAGGTAGACGGCGAGCATTGCATGGAATGATCACGAGACCCCAAAGACAAGGCTGRCCACATCACMATCGGTTACCACCATAAGAAGAACGAGAATGAGAAAGAATATATGGAATCTTGCCACGACACGGACACTGCTYWTGTCCGCGGTAGTGATAAGTTTGTCGACGTTGTTGTTTTCGTCTTCCTCGTCTGCCTTGGTTACAGATACCTTTTCGTCAGATCCCTCTCGGATGATTGGAARCAATAGCATTGGCCCATCGATACACTTAGGGAAATCTGTGGGATTTTTGAAAAAGAGATGCTCAATATCGGCATCCGCAGCCATGGCWAAGCCTGGTTTCATCCCAGAAAATCAAGAAGATGGTGACGATAATCACGATGACCGCAACTGCGGTGCAAGAGAGGAGATACAACGGCGAACAACGGCTCGATCCACTAATATATCCGTACCGTCATTGGCTCCRTCCAAAATGGGGGCGACAATGGGCCGCAGGGGAACGCTGTTTGCAATGGCGGGTGCCGCGCTCGGGTTGGTCGTGGGAACCAACACCGGCAGCAACGTGGCGAGCCAAGCCGCCCAGAGGGTCTCCAATGTCGCGTTGGCCAGTAGAAAATTCCTCTACGACCGCGTCCTTAGCTTTGGCAAGCGCTACGGTGCTAGGGCCGTCGCGTCCGAGGAACTAAGTGAGTGGATTGTGTCCCAAAATCTTGCCATCGAGTACCCCGAAATAGCCGCGTGGCTCGCCGCACAGGAGACCATGAGGGAGGGCATGACCGTTTCCATGCTTGCTGCCGAAGCCTCCGAGGCGGYAGCTGCAACCGTAGCAGCAGCTACCGCCGTAGCAGTCGCTAAAGACCGGGAGGATGCAAGCAGCGAGAAGGAGAACGATGGAATGTTGGCAAAAGCCACCGGTGWTGGCTCTACCTCTGCCATCGAACAAAAAGATAATTGCGTGGGATCCGAGGTTTCGTCTAGCCATGTTGCATCGAGAGCTTCTCAACCAATACTTCCTACGGAACAAACCACTAGACGCACTGTGGATAACGAGGAAGACACCAAATCTGTATAGAAAGTCATTACAACAACAGCGGTTTCGATTGGTTCTAGGGAATTCAGCGAAGTCGTTTTCGAATCAACTTATACAATAGCGCCAAAGTCTGAACCAGRCACTCTCAACTCATAGGTTTATCCTAAAACTTTTCTACGACAACGAGGAAGAGACGACCCAATCTGCTTCAATAGTAGCATCAAAAATGCTACATGTRAAGTCGGATGTGTCATGGAATATAAATAGCAATTTCAAGCGATTGGATTGCGATGATAGTAAAGCTGAGGAAGAGATTTAATGGATTTKAATTTTTAACGATTTTAGTTCTTGAAACTATCACGACTGTAATAGAGTTTGTTATTACGTCCGTCTCGCATTCAAAATCTGTAAGTCACAAACACCTATTCTATGAAAAAATGGAAATGCTGAATCAAACGGATCCACCGATAGGCCGCAGCTTGTTTCCTATGCCGTCCACGCCATTTTGGCACCAACCCCTGCAATGAAAACACCCAAACCCGCAATGATCGAGCACAACCCTCGCTCGAATTTTTGTAGCTTCGTGTAGGGTGTTTTCGTCCTCTCGCTTTCGTTTTTCAGCGCCGAACGGAACATGAGCGTTGGAAAAATAAAAATCAGGGAGGTACCCAGCAGGGCACCCGATAAGCTGGCCACGAACGTCAGGTCGGTGATTCGCAGTGCTAGGACTGTAATCAGGGACACAAGCGCTGTCGTAAAGCGGTTCGATTGGCGCTCCGTCAATTGTAGTGGCTTTTGCTGCTTTCGGAAAAGTGGAGTGACCTGGTTGACCAGATCGATCACCCCGTCGCGTAAGCCCACAAAGAGCAGCGGATAGGAAAAGATCAGCGACAGACCAACAGCAAATCGCGAGAGCGAGACCAGAGCGTCCTTGGTCGAATAATTGCTCAGTATCATCGGTGCTGTCGAGGATCCAAACGTCAGGTAGCCGAGGGACGAAACCACGGCGTAGAAAAGGACACATGCGGCAAAGGAAGGCGCCACCACYCCGAAGTGAAATCGATTGGGTTCCGTGCTCGATCCCTTCAGCTCCCTGTAGAACTTTGGTGCGTTGAAATGCGCAATGTACGCGGTGGACAGCATCGAAACCAGAATGAGCGACTTGGGATTCAGCAGGGGCATTACAGCAGCAGATCCAGCAGAAGCACCGCCGCTCCCGGCGGCAAGCGGTGGCACCGGCTTAAGATCGGCCATGAACTTTCCGCCTGGCAATCGGTAGCTTCCATCGAAATACCTCAGCCCAATCACGAGCCCTGTGTACACCATTCCAAGTATGCCCACAAGCGAGAAGGGTGCCAACGACGATAAATTCTTGACGCAACACAACGGCAACAATACCATTGTCGTTAAAAGCAAGAGAACATTCGTGCGGCTGTTGTTCGCCGCCAGGGTTGCAACGAGTTGGTTTCCGTTTCCTCCATCCACCAGCTTGAGCAGAGACGATAAGAGCTGGCGAAATGTATCAGCCAGGACCATCGAGTACGTCAGATTCCCGGCAAAACAATCCAGTGTAGACGACAACGCAACAATCCACGCCAGGGATTGTCCCTTGGTAGCCGTCCAGCAGTCGGCGTATGTATCACTGCTTGTCATCCGGCAGACCCGTGCAATCAATGAAAAAGTATAGGCGGAGATGCTCCCCATCATTGCAATCAAGAAGCAAGACGAAGAAAGCAGAATACCGTTGCTAGAAGTTCCACCAGCACCGGTGTTGGCCATCAGCGCTATCCCCGCTGGTAAGGATAGAACGCCGGCACCGATGATGGATTTGACAAGATTGAATATTTCTTCCGGGACTGTTGCCGTTTCCGCGAGAGATGACATCGATGGTTGGTTTTTGTTTTCTGAAGGGGAAGATGACGCGGCCAAACGGATTGGTTTCTTCTGTCGTACCTGCCGCCCTTGTGGCGGCAGTGTCGATGGTCTTCGAGGGDGAGACAGGGCATTTGCCGAAGGCGTTGGCGACGACGATCCCAAAAAGAAGATTGTCACTGCAAGTAGCACCCACGGCGTTGCACGGATCGGAAGATGTTTCTTCTTCATGGCGATGGAAATGAAATACACCGGTGACACAAATGATATCGGTAGCTTTCCCCCACCAATAGCAGCAACGTGTTCAGAGACTAGCACGATTGAGCTATGTACACCGTTTGCCCACACAGGTTTGGCGACTCGGTTCTAAAGGTGAAGACGACAGAAACGATGGCACAGACAAGGTATCGAATCCTCTGACGCAACTCGGTAGCATCAAACATCAACAATCGCGATGACATCAACACAATCATACGGTACGGTATGATTTTTTTGAGGTCAAGTTTTTTCGCGAACAAAAATACTGGTACGAGCACGTACTTGGGTCTGCTTGCGTACGTTTTAGATTCTAGAAGTAGAATTCTAGAATATAAAAATCAGGTGAAGTCTTGAAATTCTAGCTATTTTTTCAATTTTTCTATAAAATGAAGATTTTTGACAGAAAAATATTTCGAAAATGTTGRGATCACTTCAATTTGAATTGATGGTCGCGTTCAATCTATCGTCAGTAACATTACCGTACGGATGCGATTTCGATRAATTGAAGAAATAGATAGAGTTGTTTTGAATAGAACGAAAAAGAGATTTCGTTTCTAAATGTTCTTTACAGTTTTAGTCTATTGCATGCGAGCAGTACGGTTTGTATTCAGAATAATCAATCAATCGATGGTGGATGCTAGTTTCATCGCCGTTTGTTTCTTTCTATGGGCAAGATCGAGTGATTGGGTTCCTTCCTTTTTTGTCTTTTTTCTGGTTCCTCAGAAAGGATTGTCTTTGCTGTGGCAAAACAGGAAAGGCTGATAATCATCWTGTTTATTTCCTACGACAGGGCCTCGGCRGAGGGAGAGGGGGCTGTGGACTGGACCTCAGTGGCATCTACCGCATTCATGTCGTCGTATTGGACGAGGTTGCACAGAGTCTTCCAATGCTCCTTTTCGTCATCTCGAATGTTKACAAAGACATCGTAGAGGCTGGAGAGCTGTGGGCGCCGCTCGCTGTAGACACCGTCTTCCGTCTTGGACTTAACGGTGCAGAACAAATCAAAGAGAAAGGGGTTGTCCCTTTCGTAGTACTTTCGGGCAATGTCCGGGACCGGTTCGTTCTTGAGGCGGTCGCCGTACTCGGCCGTAAATTTGGTGTAGGTRTTGAAGGCGTGGTCTTCGATCAGTTCCGACAGGTGGTAGGCGGCGGGTTCGTTCCAGACATAGATTGCAATGACGTACCAGTAATAGAAAAAGGCCATTGTCTGCGCGAGGGTCCGGTCAATGATGTTGGAATTGCCTCCCAGGCTCTCCATGATTAGCAAATGATGGAGTTCGTTGTCTGCCTCGGCGTAGTGGGTTCGCATTCTTTAAATTGGATGTATCGGATCGAGAGTCAAAATGGGATATATTTTGGGTTAGGAAGGATTGCAATCAAATCGATGATTGGTAAGATTCGAAAGTTAAAAAAAGCCCTGCTATCCAATGTAGTTCAAAGACTTATGAGGTATATAGGTAATCTAGTATACGCACCTTTCGGACATGCTTCCGTASCGCTCTCCAAAGGTTTCCCGCAGGTGCATTACGCTGAGATAGGCGAAGTAKGGCACCCGTGCGACCGTTTCTAGGACGTAGAAGCGTGCAAAATCGCGCTCGGTTCCCTTMACGGGGTAGAGGAAACAAATAACATCATAGACCGTATCGATGAGGAGCTTGTTGAAGCCAAAGATCCCCTCGTCCATGGTTCTGGCGGGAGGAGTCGCGGCGGATTTCGAAACGCTCGGCATGGTCCCGGGAACCTGCACGGGCTCTATTTCCGCCGGGGTCGACAGGGAGGRCTGTGGTGAGGCCGCTGTCATATCTGTGATTTCTGGTTCCCCACCKTCAGGGGAGGTGGACACGCCGAGGGGAAATGTAGCTCGTGTGTTGGGGGAAGCGCGGAGAATGCCACTGTTGCCGGCGGATCGGAAGGAATGAACGGCCAAGGGCGAAAATGCCGCTGCTGCGACGAGGAGGTACTTCGAGTGGAAACAGATTCTCATGATGGAATTTCTTGCTTTGYCGTTTCCTGCCTATCTGYTTGGACTATTATTATTTTRATGAAAATGCGCTTTGTGGAATTGTATTCTGTCTTTCGTAGAGACAGCCTCACGTTCGAACGTCACTGCTTGAGCTTTAGGTCTCGTGTTAGTAACTATCCCAATTGCGAACTATGCCAATCAGTGTCTTCTTGGTTGTATAATCCAAGAAGAACGAAMGCACGGAAACCAAAGTGTTACAGTCGGGCAGCAAAATTTGAATTTGGAAGGCTTTTGAGGTTAAGTTTTACCGTATTACAGCAGTGAAAAGAATTCCATTCGAAACGACGAATTCAATTCAACGACYGTGACCCTYAGTGACAGCTGATAGAGTACCGGTACGAKTAGTACCAATGGGGAGACTACTTTTGTTGCTGTGATGTACAGTACGTACTGCACATTATGTGATTGGATCTACCAATTTTGATTGGTGGAGTGCCATATGATGTGTGGGCTTCATCGAAGCACTCTTCAAGAAGAACACGTCTATGCAGTCTATTCCTCGCCCTTGGATACCTTTGTTCTCCACCRAAACTTGCTTGTCAGCAACGTACGAGTACACTTACCGCTACTCACGTAAGTTTTACAGCGGTGATGAGTATGGTGGCAGTTTCGTTCAAATTCATTGGCGCAGATACAAAAACACCTCCTTTGCTCTTGCCACTCGAGCGAGGGAAATTTGCCAGATTCAGTTTCGATTGAGAGAGAGAGAACGATTTTTGTCGAGAACTTTTTTTGAAAAAGCCTTCGAGGCAATAACACCGGTACTCGTACGTTTACTACTTAGGTCATACTTGTACTTCTACTTCTTTTCGAAGTAGAAGTACGTACGTACGTACCGATTGTGATATGTGATACAGTATGAGATAGGGATAACCTTTAACCTTACCGTACTGTATTACGCAGTACAGTACTTCTACGATTTTTCGATACCAAGAGTACTAAACATATGTACAAAAAGTATAATAAGTACTGTAAAAGGATCTTTCTACGAAGTATTTTTTTTGTGAAATGTTGATAGACTCCTAGTGCTGCATGATTACGTGGTTTACAATAAGAGTGAGGTTATTCACTAGCTATTCGTGATCCAGTGTTATCCTCACACCACCCCGCACTCACACAATCTGAAGACTCGAATGAGTCGGATTTTGTGCGTTCGATTAAGTCGAACTGCAGCAAATCAAGAAGAGGATTCAGATTAGTGTGAGTGGAGAAGAATGCTATCTTGTGTTGGATAGCAGTATCAACAGGGATAGATGAGGTGGGTGACGGTTGAATGGTATACAGTGGTTGCAGTCGTCCCATGAAGACATTTGTGTGTTCATAGAATTTAGTACGACCAGTAGGTTTGCTCAGTGAGTCACTGCAATTTGCTTCAGATTTGGTCTCCACATAGTGGAGAAGTTCATCATCAGTCCATTGAAGGATTACAAAGTGTTTCATCTCTACATGTCTGGTTTGGCGAGTAGGTTGGTGTGCGTTTGCCATACGGATAGCACCATGGTTATCAGCTACAATGGGAGTAGACCGTGTTTGGGCAAGATTCAGCTCCGCAAGGATCCATCGAAGATAAAGAGCAGCCTTACCCGCATCAGCCATGTTAGTGAATTCAGCCTCAGTTGAGCTTTGAGCAATAGTGGGTTGAAGGCGTGTTCTATAGTACAAAGCCGCACCAGCAAGCATCATAATGACACCGCCCATGGAGCGACGCTGGAGCCTATCAGAGGCCCAAGTTGTATCACAAGCCCCATGAACCTGAAGAGGGTCATTGCTCTGATTGTATTTAGATAGCCATGGGAGAGGGGAGACTGGTGTGGGAAGGGGATGATCAGGGAGGTCAAAACGGGGAGTGGGACGCCAATATGTGAGCCCCTCGTACTTGGTAGCTAATAGATAGACAAAGAGGTGTTTAACTGCCTCATAGTGTATCTTTGCCGGGCAATGAGAGTGTTGGCTTAGAGTGATAACTGCAATAGAAATGTCAATGCGACAAATAGTGAGGGCATAAATGAGTTCGCCAATACACTGTCTGTAATTAAATCCCATTGATTGTTCCAGCTTGAAAGCATCGAGGCTATCAGCACTAGGGCCCTGTTCTAAATGAAGGCGTTTCTGATAAAGTGAATCCTCCCGCATGGGTGTAGGGCGCTTCCGGCAGCGTTCCCGCGACCAGCCATGATGGTCAACGATCTTTTCAATGTATTTAGCACAGTGAAGATGATTGAAGTGCCGAGTTTGATTCACATGTATTCCATTGAATTTCCGAATGGTACCAAGGACATTTAGGGGGTTCGTCATGCGATCCTGTAATTGCTGACGGATTGAGTCACATACACCAACATCGTGATTGGCAATAAGAAAGTCATCAACCTGGCGAAGGATAAGTGTAAGGCCATTGTGATCATGTTTAAAGTATAGACATGGTTCATGTGTAGTGGGTTTAAAGCCTAGTTCTTCAATAAGCATTTTGGAGATATATTTGTCCCATAACCGTGGTGCTTCCGGATGGCCCTGAAGAGCTTTTAGTATGGGAATAACTTGTCCCTGCTTGATAGGCTCACGATGGAGACACTCAGTCCACCATTGTTGGAATTGAGCATCAACTTTCATAAAGAAAGGGCTTTTAGGAGGAGGGGCCTCAGCAAAAGCATTGCCTACATCATAACCAACACAAATGAGGTTTAATGCAGCTGCAATAGCCCATGTAAGGCAATGGATTGGTTGTTCCACACACGCCGCATACGTCTCAGCAAGGGTTACAGCCTGACCATAGCGTTTGCCTCCGTTGCATGTGCCCCGGGCTTTAGGCTCATCCTCACCAGAGAGAGGGTTCTCCTTTTCAAGATAGGTCCATACCCAAGGGAGTATTGTCATATCTGGTACTGCATCAACCGGATCACCAAACATACCAACACGATGATAACGATTAAGCTGTTTCCATTCAGACTGTAAGAATCCATCCCATTTGGGTGTTCCTTGGAGTCTAGAGCGCGTGAGTTTCGCAATCTTAATCCGTTCCATCATGGTTTCAGTGGAATCTATGGGGGTTGGCCAGTCGGATTTATTCACCCACAGGTCTTGTTGATAATGAAGTGCATGGAGATGGTGGGCAATAACATTGAGTTGATCAGCCTGCAATGTGGGGACCCCCTCACCACTGAGTGCGAACCCTGTAAGGGATCCAAAGGTAAACTTGACGACTTTGCGGTGATTGGATCGAGCCTGTCGAATCGCGGTAATAAGGTCGGTCTTAGTACGGATAGGACTGTTATCCACTGAAGTAATAATTGTCCCCCGGAGGCGTCGCTTCCAGCCACGGATACGATTGTGTGCAATAGATCCAACCTGTATGGCAGTGAGTTCAACTGCATCCGTAATATCTGGGTGAGTAGCAATGATAAAACCCATTGTGGGATGGAGACAAGAGACAGAATCAAGGGGAAGGGTGTGAGATGTCTCTTTAATATAAATGTTGGTGGATATGTCCAGTGTTTCAAGGTCAGGGATTAGAGATGCTAGATCAGGTCGTTGAAATTTGGTTCGATGGACAGTTGCCGTTACTTTAGCTGCAATAGCTGCTGTGACTTTAGCGGCCGCAGCAGCGGTGTAGCTAGTTGGTGAGTCTCGAATAATTTCCGCAACGATTGCTTCCGGATTAGATTGACGAGGGTCCTTGATCTCCAATTCAATGGGTTCAGGACGACAATTAGTAGTATGATTAGAGCTAGAGCCTTCAGTGAATGTTTCCAATAGATGGGCTCCAGCAGGAGATCTGCATTGCGGATTGTCACCATACTGCAATTCATCCTTAGAATCATGGCGGGCCAGCTTGTCAGTGCCAGTATGAATATCGAAGTATTTGATGTTGTCAGTTGTTTTGCCGTATCCTAAAAAGATTCCATCATATGTCCAAGGATGTGTTGTAGTAGGGCGTGTACCAGGGCGTTTAGCCGTAATCTTAGACCCAAATGTAATCAGATTATCCACGAGGGGAATCATACCAGTGTACATTTGAAAGGGTGTCTTCTCTATTGCAGAATGATAAGTACGGTTATAAAGCCAAGTAGCGTGGAGGAGTGCATCTGTCCAGTATTCAGTGCCCAGGCCTGCCGCATAGAGGAGACAACGAATGCGTTCCTTTAGAGTGCGGTGTGGGCGTTCAGCCAAGCCATTTTGAGAGGATGCATCAGCCGCTGTGGAGACAGTATCATATCCATGAGTAGCCGCTGTCTTCCGAAAATCAGTGCTATTGGAGAGGTCATTGCCACCATCTGTCATGATGGTACAGTCAAGATGATCTGGGAGGAGTGAGAGGTGATAATCATTGTCGACAACCTCAAGGTCGTATGATTTATCCCTAATGGTGTTGGCAAAGGTTCTGGACCGAGCCAAGTATCCCTCCTTTGTAGTGGTAATAGCACGACGTGGGTCTGTGTTGCGGATACCGTGTTTCCGTAGGAACATATTAACGATTTGAATAGGAGGGGCTTTGGATTTAAGGGGAAATGTCCAAAGGGCACGAGTAGCAGCATCGATAATAGTTAGGAAACCAATGTGTCCATGGCGGCTTCGCTTCAATGTTGCTTGTGGTTTGGCATTCGTGGTCAGTATATCTTTGAGGTTCGGTGGGCCGCTAACAAAGCACAGGTCCATATGAAAGGACTGTCCAGGAATTAGCCGTTCCGTAGTGTATGGTTTGCGTTGGCCAGAGTATTTGGTCATCTTGCTCTTTTCGCAGAATGGGCATTTGAAGAAGGGGACTGCCGAGGGAAGATCGGGAATACCCTCCACAACCTTCTTGGTCTTCAATAGGGTAGTTGGGGATATATGGCCATATCGCTGATGCCAAAGTTCCAGATTCTTGAGGGCTGTTGAAAGGCCCGAGGACCATGTGCAAGGTTCAGATTGCAAGGAGGGGCTAGCCACTTGATGGAGCTGATTACGGTATTGATGAAGTTCATTAGCGACGTGTGTATCTTCCATGGTGTTGAGGACAAGGACCTTGTTTGTAGTGTACCATTCACCATTGTTGCGGATAGTTTGAATAGACTGAATAGGCTCGTTATGAGTGTTTAGGAAAGCAACTGTTCCCCTACCGTTAGCATTGCCCTCCTGTCGAAACGCGTGGAAGTTATGTAGACGTTGGTAGTTATCCGGGGAGAGAACAGTTCCCACTGACTTTGGCGTGTAAAGGGTACGCCAACGC